CTCCCCACTTCCCCTTCCCCGGCCGCGCCCTCGCTAGCCGGAGGACTGTCCCCGCAAGAGCGCACTTGCGCCCTGCCCCGCCCCGCAATCGGCGAGCAGTTGGTAGGCGGGGCGTGAGTGCAGGTTGGGGTCCACCCAGTCCTGCCCCCAAAAAAAACGCTCTCTAGACCTAGAAAGTATTTGTGGAATATCTGCGATGCCTCAGGCATCCTACTGGGAGGGGAATTACAGGGTGAACTGGAACGCATTAGGCAGGTTCCTATGGCAGGTACTAATGACACAAATGCAAGTAAAGCTGGGATTGCAGAGGGAGAGGAATAGGTGCTCGATGAGGGTGGGGAGGCGAATGTCACCTAGTCAAGAAGGTCAGGAAAGGCATCTCTGAAGTGATGCACACTTTGCCTCCTTCCTCTCCTGCGCCCACCTCGGCATGCGCGCTCAAGCTCATGCGCGAATACACAAAAACACAACCACATACACCAACATACCAATGCAGTCCCTAACCTAAAGACAAAATAAATTATCATAAATATGTCAATGTGCCCACCTCTCCTAGTGGCTATAGGTATCATGTAGGTCAGGTCTGGAGAAGAATGCTGGTCTGGCGGGTTCTGCAGATGACAGGCTACCTATCTGCCTGTGGGCTGATCATGCCTGGAGATGCATTTTTGAGTGTTCAGATTTTCCCACTGGCAAATAGGCCAGCAACATTGCACTCAACTTCAGGAATGAGATGCATGATTAGCATGTGAAATGACATAACTAAATGGCCTGCTGTTTAAATGTTAAAAGGTTCTAGGTTAGATAGCCTAAACTTTAAAACTACCATAGTTGATAATGTTTTATTTATTCATTTAAAAATATCAAGCACTGTACATTATACATTGCTAAATAATGGGTTGAGCCCTAGCCGGTCTGGCTCAGTGTATAGAGACTTGGCCTGCGGATCTCAGGGTCCTGAGTTCAATTCTGGTCAAGGGCACGTACCTTGGTTGCAGGCTCCTCCCTGGTCCGGGCCCTGGTTAGGGCCTGTGCAGGAGGCAACCAATCGATGTGTTTCTCTCACATCTGTTTCTCTCACATGGATGTTTCTCTCTGTCTTTCCCTCTCTTTTCCACTCTTTCTAAAAAATCAATGGAAAAATATCCTCGGATGAGGATTAAAAAAAAATGGGTTGGAAAGCCAGATAGACTAAGATCTGCCTTCATAAAGTATTTGGTCTACTGGGAAAGAGAGGCAAGTTATCTAATTATAGTGAAGTGTGGTAAAGGGTGTTTTTATGTTATATGCAGGATGCCACAATAGTCCAGAAAAAATCAGATTGGGATTTGCAAAAGATTTCTGGAAAATGGTGCTTAAACTGAATATTGAAGGAAAAGTAGGAATGACAGAATGAATGGGATTGGGGAGGAGAGGGGGAGACAGATATTTCAAGTCCTGCGCATAAAGGCCTGCTGTATTTAAAGGACTGGAAGAACTTCCTCATTTATGGCTGAAGCAAAAAGAATGTGCAGCAGTAGCAAGAAATGGGGCTGGATAGTAAACAGGGACCATATCCTGAAGGACCTAGTGTGAGGAGCTAAAGAGTTTTTAACTTGATGTCCAATAGTTAAAAGAGCCAACGGCTTAATTAGGATTTGCTTTAGGACAAGACTCGAGGTTAGGCAGTAGTAGCCTAGAGGCTTTGAGGAAAAGAGGATCCCATAGGAGACATTAAAGAGGCAGAACCTGTAAATGGGACATGTATAATCCACACTCACTAGGTCCTTCTTACCTTTAAGAGATCCAACTACACTTGGCCCTCCCACACCTGAATCTTACTGTGTTGGGCTTCTCTCTACCCCTGTTCCTCATTGAGCTATCCCTATTCGGATCTATTCAGACACAGGCAAGCTCTGTTCCTTTATTTTTTTTTTTTTAATATGGAACGCTTCACGAATTTATGTGTCATCCTTGCGCAGGGACCATGCTAATCTTCTCTGTATCGTTCCAATTTTAATATATGTGCTGCCAAAGCGAGCACAAGCTCTGTTCCTTTAGATTCAAGAACTCCAAGTACCTCAGCACTTGGTGATACTCAGTTAACTTTACCCAAGATTGGAAGTATCACCATAACTACCCTGCCCTCACTGTGTGCCCATTCCTAGCACACAGTCCTCCCTACTGTACAAAGCCCCCCAGTCCACAGCAGCCCTGCTGAGCCAACCTGCATCCCTATGCTGCCCTGGGATTCTAGTGAACAAAACCCATCTTGCTAGAGTTGACAACTGACTAGAAATGGGGCAAAGAGGCTGAGATCTTGAATGGTGAAAATATTCGCAAAGAATCCAGGGGAAGAAGTTTGGCTGAAAAGATATGAATTCTGTCAGGACAAGGCTGAGTCTGAGGTACCTTGTAGGGAGCAGCTATAGGGTTAAGCCTCGCACTGACCTGTGGCAGGGCCACAAACAAGTCCCAGCTTGGAGGGCAGAGCCTCTTAGCATAATTAAGCTTGACCTTATAGTCCTCCCTTGCTCCTTCCTAGGTAGCTATTGGGCTGTGCTGCCAAAACAAGGTGAAACTCAAAAGAACATTGTAAACATGTTGACCACTACCTTGTTTTGCTTTGTGTGCTCTGACTATAAAATAAAGACTCGGCTTGCAGGCCGTGGCACTGTCTCTCCATCAGAGAAACAGCGTCCCACCGAGCCCCAGCTGTATTCTCTTGTCTGTCTTCTTTAATCCTTCACCGCCTCTCCTCAGGCTCACGCGTGCTGGACACGGCACATGTGGCCTCCAACGTAGGGCATGCGTATGGGGGAACTACAATTGCAAGGTGAAAGGACACTGCAGTGAAGCAGGTGCAGAAAGCAAAATGTAAGGTAAGGAGCACAGTTTAGTAATAGCTAGGTGTAAAACATGGGAAATTCAGGATCACAGGAAAAGAACTTATATGTATCTATGCTTAAGGCTATACTCCAAACACAGGGCTGTTCTGTGAAATATCAATAGTTTCTCGATTTGTTGGATTTTGTAAATAAAACTTGCCAATAGTTTCCTGAGAAAAGGAAAGGTAAATGAAGAGACATGGGAGTAGGTAGAAAAGCAACTTAAAGATCATTATATAGTTGAAGGTCCAGGGAAAATTCCTCTCTCTACTTTCAGTCTGTGGTCCCTGATTCGGGACTGCCTAGAGCCCACTCCCGAAAGGGAATGAACGACTGCGGCAGGGGAACTAAGACAGAGAGTGGAAGGTTACCAGAGGCTTAATACTGTCGCAAAGGCTTGTCTCTCATCTGGAGATTACTTACTATGGAAGTATTTTATCCGTGTTTGTACTGACATTGGACCAGCCTACATTCAAGGAGTGGTATTAGCTGCTGCATTAAAAGAGATGTTACTCACTGATCAGCAGAAAAAGACAGGGAAATGTTTTAACTGTGGTAAACTAGGGCATTTTGCTAAAGACGGTAATGCTAGAAATGTAGGCTACAGGGAGTGGAAACAAGCAGCCTGGACCATGCCCAAGATGCAGGAGAGGAAAGCATTGGGCAAATAAATGACGCTTCAAAACTAATGTTGATGATAATCCAATGCCCCCTCGGCAAGGAAACTTCAAGCGAGGCCAGCCCAGCCCCACCAAACAGTGGGGGCCTTATCCTTGACCCCACTGCAGCCTTTCCAGCCAGCTCAGTCCCAAAACAGCCTTTCCAGCCATTCGAAACCTTTACCGTGCCACCCAGGGAAGCATAGGATTGGACCTCTGCCCCACCTCCCGATATGTACTAACCCCGGAGATGGGGCCTCAGGCCATTGCCACAGGAGTGTATGGTCCTTTCCCACAGGCATGATGGGACTAATTTTAGGGAGAAGCAGTTTAACATTGAAAGGGTTTCAAGTTCTCCCCGGGGTGATAGATCAGGACTATACTAGAGAAATTAAAGTAATGGCACAAACAATGAATACTTAAATCAGGTTTTACCAGAAACAAAAATAGCACAAATTCAAGGTCAGGCAATAGCGGAAAGAGCCAATCCTACTCTTAAAAAGCAATTACAAAAACAAAAAGGGGGAGAAGGATGTTAGGTGTTAAATTTTTTGGATTACGATGCAGAGAGTAGTTCAGTGGCCGAAAGGCTTTGGACCTCCAGTGCAATAGCCTCCGCCAAGTTAGCCCGGTGGAAGGATGCACAAACCAGACAAGAGTTTTACCAGATCCAGTAATGACGTGGGGAAGAGGTTGTGTTTTGTGTCTTTCCAGAAGGAGCAGTGCAGCCACTTTGGGTGGCAGAGCAGCCCAAGGTGCCAGAGCTTTACATGCATCACCACAATGGACCCAGAGAAGCTCCTTGTCCCTTCATTCAAAAGACGGAGAGTTGCCCCGATGACAGCGATGCAGAAGAAGAAAATGAAGACTATGCGAGGGGCCAAGGTGCCAACATGGGGTCAGTGGAGAACTTAACAACTGAAGCCCAGCAGATGGGAGAAAAGCAAGAAGTGGAAGCTACTCCCTCAACCATGTTTCTGGCTATGCTAGCATTGGTTAGCTGCCAGTCTTCTGCAAAGTCATGCACAGCCACGTCCAAGGACTCTGAGTAAATATACACCAGCAGCAAAAGAAACTTTTATTTTGTAGCTAAAAATGTTAACATGTCTGTGGTTTGATTTCTCTCTCGTTGCTGTGTTGCATTGGCATTGTTTTGTTATTGTTTCAATAGCCAAAGTTTTGTTCTTGATGTTAACATGTCTGTAGTTTGGTTTTTGCATTGGCATTGTTTTGTTATTGTTTTAATAGTCAGAGTTTTATTCTTGATGTTCAAGTTTTACTTTTATGTTTATTGTAGTAGCTTAAAAACAAAAAAGAGGTGGGCAAGATATAGGGAGCAGCTATAGAGTTAAGCCTCAGACTGAAACCTGTGGCAGGGCCACAAACAAGTCCCAGCTTTGAGGGCAGAGCCCTCTTAGTATAATTAAGCTTGACCTGATAGTCCTCCCTAGTTCCTTCCAGGTAGCTAATGGGCTGTGGGAGGTGCAGCAAGTGCTGCCAAAACAAGGTGAAACTCACAAGAACATTGTAAACATGTTGACCACTACCCTTGTTTTGCTTTGTGGGCTCTGACTAGAAAATACTCAGCTTGCAGACTGTGGTGCTGTCTCTCTATTAGAGAAGCAGCGTCCCACAGAGCCCCAGCTGTATTCTCTTGTCTGTCTTCTTTAATCCTTCACCGCCCTCCTCAGGCTCACCGAACCTGCCCATGCTGGATGCGGCACAGTACCTGAGGGACATTTAAGTGGAGGTGTCTAGGAGGCAGTTGGGCCTATGATATGGATCTAGAATTTAGAAGAGAAGTATAAAGAGGAGCTAACGACATGTGAATTTTCAGTAAGCCACTGGTAATTGAAGGCCTGATTGCTGATGAGGCCACCCAGGGAAAGCATGCAGAGTGAGAAGGACAGAGTGCAGATAAA